TAATATTTCTAGTCATTCTTCGATTTCCCAGGCACTCGAAAGCACTCCGATCCATGGAAGAGAAAATATTGGTGACAGCTTGGAAGAGATGATGTTAGCTCTGAGGACAACAACGCTAGAACATGCGAAGACAATCTCACAAATGAAGCATGACTTTGAAAACATGAAGAAGGCTACTGGGAAGCTGAGTACTGACTACGAGAACTTGAGGAAAGAGCACGAGAACCTCAAGTCTAGCTTCCAGGAACATCTCCAGGAAAAAGACGAACTTAAACTTCAACTAAACACCACGCGAGAGAGACTTCAATATCTTGAGGCCATTAGCCTTCAAATAAGTGAGTGGAGCACGAGAACCTCAAGTCTAGCTTCCAGGAACATCTCCAGGAAAAAGACGAACTTAAACTTCAACTAAACACCACGCAAGAGAGACTTCAATATCTTGAGGCCATTAGCCTTCAAATAAGTGAGTGGAGGCTAGAAAGGCCCTTTGATCAAAATTGTTGACGAACATAAAAAAATTTATCATACATTTTTAGTGAGCAAAAAATACAAAAATTATTGTTCCTGCTTCTGCAGCATGTCCTGTAATTGCTTGGAATGTTTGGTTTACTGGACAGTAACTGTCACCACCATTTTACAAGTAAGTTGCGGGCAGTTATTCTCCTAAGAAGACTCTAGGGAACAATCAGCAATGAGCATCGTACAGTACTGAAATCCCCTGACTGCAAATGGCTCCACAACGCACTTCTGACTCCGAATATGTATAGAATGGCTCCCATGTCGAGTAAGACGAATTCCATGAAGCGAGTTCTATTGTGACACAAGAACCAGAGAGGCACATTGAATCGCTTCAACCCAGGCCATGCATCGTTCTCCATCATGATCACCCTTTGCCCCCTTGGCCTTTTAACATTTCATGTAATCTCTGGTGCGTTATGGGTGCATGTCCATGAGTCAATCTCGCGTCATCATCTAACACCTTTCTCGAATGAGGAGAGCATTCTGCGCTAACTCTTATTTTTGGCTTTCTGCTGACAGAAACTTCGTTACTATGTGCTTCTCCTTTTAGGACGTTCATTTGATCGCTTGCATAGCTTTAGAGCAACATTTATGCCCGCCCATAATGAGCAACACAGAGAGCGGTGACAGAAGCACTTCAACCGATCGCATATTCCAGGCAGTGATGTGAAATGCTGTCGTTACCCGGACTGCAATTTCTTTACGAAATGCTCTATATAATCTTCTTCATTTAATAAGCCTTTGCTCAGAAGTACATCTACCTGCTGAGGTCGGCAATATATTAATTATTTCATCACAGCTCCTCGAACGTGTCAGACGCTGGCCGACTTGGGAGTGACTCGGACAGGAGAATACCTCGTGGATCCTGACGGAGCGTTGATCGGCGATGCACCAATCAAAGTCCTCTGTGATATGGAGACAGGTCGTTGAAGTGAACAATCATTCCGTTATTCGGAAAAAAAATATTTTTTGGTTTGTTACTTCCGGCACATGCTCTCTTAACCATGCTACGTCTAGATCCAGTATCCACGATTGTCCTCCATGATTCAATGGGAAACACTGCGATAGATCGATGTGCTGATCCTGGATGCTACAATCACTCCATAAGGTATGGTTCATCGATGAAACAGATGGTCGCATTGATGAAGCAATCGAAGTCGTGCGAACAGCAAATAAGAGTGAGTCTATCCTGTCGCCTCAGGAATTTGTATTTTAAAGTGCTTTAATCATAAAGCCAAAAATTTACCATTAACAAATTTTTGAAGAATTCATATTCTTTTATCTTTTCAAAAAAGATAAAACTGTACACATTAATTACAAATAAGGCCTATTGGTTGCCTAGCGAAAACAAGAGCAAAGACCAGCCGGCATTCCGCGCGGCAATCGACGCTTGCCCTGTTACGTGCCCACCAATTGACTCTTCTGGTCATAGTTGCTGTTAGCTTCTGTTCCTCTTAATATCCCAGTTGATTCCCAATCAGTCAAACTACCAGATATACATCGGAAGGAATGCTATCTGTTCGCCTATTATTCCGATTCTAACTCATCGCTAAATTCTTTTAGTTTAGGTTGAACATCATCGAAAAGTATTTGGAATCTGAGTTGTAGTGAGTTGTAGTAGAGTTGTAAGAAGTGCAACAAAAAGATGAAAGCGTTACCTTAAATCGACGCCTTTTAGGACGATGTGTAACTAGGCTTTTATTGGCGGCCTCACGTTACTCGCATCAGGCGAGGAGCGATCCCAACGTTCCCTTGGGATTACAAAGGCAACTTATTAAGGTCGTTCTTCGAGAGATGGCGAGACGAGTGTGAATCTCCAATTTACGTTATAATTGCCTCCCCACACTTTCGTGTGGCCAATTTGCAAATTTCATTTTGAACAGGCACATCCTCGAATGATAAGGAAGAGTTCTGTCGAAACCTTAAGTTCATATATTTAACTGTTCCTCCTGTAGTACTGTGACACACACAGAAACGCACGATTGTCGCTCGGCCTAGCTAGTGGTCAGGATCGCTTGCGCTTTATGTCTAACCTCCAAACTTCGGTTGTTTTCCAATCGAGGTCCTCCAGTTTGAAAAAATGCTTTTTCAGACTTGAAATATCTTAAACGGTGGCTAGAAAAAAAGTTTGAAATTCAGTTACGAAAAATTGACCTTTCGTTCACAAACCCCAACCACTATCCATTCCACGGCCCGACTCTCACGAGTAGGGGAAGTGAAACGCAGAGTTCAGCAGAAGTTGCGAAGATGATTATATGTGGCTGCCGCTGTATGCAGTCAGTGAGGGCAAAGCCGATTTTTCATCATGGAAATTCGATAATTTTTTTCTAAGTCACCCTTTAAGATACTGAAGTCTGAAAAATATATATTTTGTAGCTAAGTCTTACTTCTTTCCATGACATCTAACCAGAAAAAAAAATATTTGAAGAACATAGCTGACGTGAAGTTGAGTCAAAGAAAAATTCAACCTATCTGGTGCATTCCCTCAAGGAAAAGCTTTCAGGTTGGTCGCTTTACAAAGATTCACGTATTCTCCACCAACGAAAAGATCAAACGGACAGAATTGAAGCTTGGTGGCAGGGAGTTCTCCAATTACCGATTTCAGTTGATTGTTATTTCTTGGCAAAACCCTTCAGGGAACACTTTTTTTTATACAATAGGAGCATTTTAAAATTATTCCTTAAATCAATGAACCAGAAAGTGATAGAAAGTTGAAAGTTGGCTCAGAAGTACATATTTGAGTGCAGAAAAAAATCCTAATTTTAAAATATGTTGTCTCCTGACGCTTTATGGGGAGGGAAGCATTTCAAGTTTGTTTTTACGCTCTGACTAAAAGGAGCACATGAAGAGATTGAAAGTGTGGCACAATTGAAATCAACGGAATAATGATTTCGATAATACTAATAAATATGTCGGTTACATCCCCTAAAGGCACTTATCTCAATGGGAAGTACATAAAATAACTCTTTGCCGCTTCGAAAATGAAGTAATGAATTAACCACTACTCTGGATAATGGATTCAATGAAGCCACGGCCATGGCGAGTTTATTTGATCGAGGGGGAAACAAACTCTTTAGTTTCAATGAAATTGCCACACCTTGATAATAAATGAAGGTCATATCTTCTAACAAGCCTCTGCGTTTCAGTGTCCGCTTCTTTGAGCGAAGGTCAATTTTGAAGAATAATTGCCTGTGATATCAGTCACGGATTCCTATCGCACGACTAGCTACATTATTTCTCATACCCACTACAGAGATTCGAAAATATATTATAGATCACCCTGTCCATCCTACTTGTGTCACTCAAGACACGTTGGATTCGCAACAGAAAATCCGCATTTAATATATTGGGTTGGAAAGGAAGTCTTGCAACACTGCGCAAATTTTTCAAAATGTTCTAACTTTATTGAAATGCAATTTCAGTCTACAATGTAATGCCCATTGTTGTCTATGACATGTTCTCAACGCACGGGTAACTGCTCGATGCCCTTTGCCCAGAACTCTGGCGATTGCGAAGCGAAGAAACGGCCGACATCATTTTCGAGCCGTGCTCGATCGTCGAAGGCCTTGTCCCGCAGGTGATTCTTGAGGGCCCGGAACGAGTGATAGTCGGAAGGGGCCAAGTCCGGAGGATACGCTGGATGGGGTAAAACTTCCCAGCCCAGTTCCGAAATTGTCTGGCGAGTCATCTTCGCAACACGTGGACGAGCGTTGTCATGCAGGAGAACTTTTTCACGTTTGGGACGCTATTTTTGAATGACGCCAGCCAACTTCTGAAGTCGAGCAGCGTAGACGACGGCAGTCACGGTGGTACCGGTTGG